ACTAGGCATGGGTTCCAGATTCATACATTGCTTTACTTTTCATGAAAATTAAGGACATGGTTTGTACTAAAATGATCTCTCCTTTTCTTTATTAAGCTAATTGACCATGAAATAAATTAACTGGCATGATTAGTTGAAAAATTTGTCAGTTTTAAATGTTTGTGCTCTCTGACCCAGTAGGTCTTAACATAAATTCTTTTTTAAAAATATTTATTTTTTAGGTGTAGAAGGACACAAAACAATGCCTTTATTTTTATGTGGTGCTGAGAATCGAACCCAGGTCCCGCCCGTGCTAGGCAAGCACTCTACTGCTGAACCACAATCCAAGCCCCTTAACATAAATTCTTTAAAGTATTTATACAAGGATGAATATTTATATTTAAAAATTCAATTGCACTATGAATTGGTGACAAACTGAAAACTTAACTCTGAAGGTGTTATAAAAGCACCCTCAGATACAGCAGGAAAATTAACTGTCACTGAAGATAAGGGAACTGAAACTCTTTAGTCTTTTAAGTTGCTAAGTGTCTCGAACATGCATAATATGGTTGTGTGCAGTTGACTCAGGAAGTCATAAGAAAGGGAAAACAGCCCCACCTCAAACAACAGTGCTGTTTGGCTCTTAAGAGCCAAAATATCTGTATTTTCCACAGGGCACATCCATATCTGTTGAAAGAAGGATACACACTGATTTTTTGTGAATATGGTTTAGAACATACCCAAGTCTGACTCCTTTCTCTACCATCTGTTATGTGACTTTGGACAAATGACTTAACTTTTCCAATTCATTTTCTCATCTCTTAAATGAAAATGTTGATAGTTTTTATCAGTTATTAGTCATGAGGTACAAATGAGTTCAGGCACAGTACCTGAAACAACAAACTCAACAGATCTTCTCACACAGTTGCCACATACCCTGCTCCCTCATCAGTTATTCCCCTCTTAACCTGAATTTTAGCTCAGTGCTCTTTTTACCCATTTCTCACTATTCATTAAAAACCACAAAGCTAGCATTCAAAAGTGCCATGAATGTCTTAATTGGAATTCTAGTGGTACAGAATAACTGGAATTCTATGTAGACTAAACAAGTTGACAATTTGATAATTATTGATTTAAAATGTTCAAACCCAGTAGTTCTTAATCTGAATCATGGAGGTGTTTGAACAAGGGCACAAAAATTTGTCTACAAAGATTCAGTTGAGGGCTGGGATGGTGGTTCAGTGGTAGAGCAAGTGCCTGGCATGTGTGAGGCCCTGGGTTTGGTCCTTAGCACCACATTAAAAAAAGATGGACACAATACCTTTATTATCTATCTACAACTAAAATAAATAAAAAGATCCAGCCAGGTGCAGTGGGATCCAGCAGCTGGGGAGGCTGAGGCAGCAGGAGTTCAAAGCCAGCCTCTGCAAAAGTGAGGCACTAGGCAACTCAGTGAGACCCTGATTCTAAATAAAATACAAAACAGGGCTGGGGATGTGGCTCAGTGGTCGAGTGCCCCTGAGTTCAATCCCTGGCAAGTAAAAAATAAACAAATAGATAGATTCGGTTGAAACATGAAAATTGGAGACTATGTATATTTGCCATTAGGGCTGAGATAAATTGGGTGAAGTATATCTATTCAAGAGAATACTCTATTGGGAGAGTTAAATAGTGACATAGGAAGATATTCAAAGTATCTGATTAATGTAGACAAGCAATTAGAACATACTATTTGTACTCTGCCCATTTGTTTCTTTATAGTGTCAGTACTTTTTTTCTGCCCATTAAACGTGCCTGTCTGCTTCTAGTTTCCATGTCTGTCTTCTAACTAGGATTTTGTCATTCTTCCTGAGTATTTGCCTTGAAAGAACTAACTAGTGAAACTATTTAGACTTGGCATTTTATTTAGATAACTGGTTGATTGTGAAGTTATGTAATTTGGTCAGCTTACATTTTTCTGACTTAAATTCCTAACACATTTTTGCTATCTTAATGTTCATTTGCATACTGTTGTACTTTAAATTTGTGTAGGTATCATCTGTATCACTTCCTATATTGCATTTCCATTTTATTGGGTTTGTTAGGCAAAAGTCAGTCCTTGTATTCAAAGAAAAGCCCTTTTATTGTTTCTATAGTGTTAACTAATTTATTTTTGATACTGGAGATTGAACCTGGGGGCGTTTTACCACTGAGCTACATCCTCAGTGCTTTTTATTTTTTTATTTGGAGACGAGGTGAGGCAGGCCATATTTGCAGTCTTCGGTCTCAGCCTCGAGAGTCACTGGAATTATAGATATGCTCTACCATGCCCCAATAAATTTTTAATCTTTTTGTTCAGCAGAAAGAAATTTAAAGACTTACTTTTTTTTTTTTTTTACATTTAAACATGTAACTGAACCTTTCCTTTAAACTTAAGATGATACAGTAGTTGAGATTTTCCTTGAAAATTTGTAAAAAAATAACAAGGTTCTGCTGGGTGTCATGGTGCATGCCTATAGTTCCAGTAGTTCAGGAGGCTGAGGCAGATTCAAAGCCAGCATGAGCAACTTAGTGAGGCCCTAAGCAATTTGGCAAGACCCTATCTCCAAAAAAAAAAAAACACAAAAATAGAAACAAAGGCTGGAGGTGTGACTCAGTGATTAAGCGCCCCTAGGTTTGTTCCTTGGTACAAACAAAACGAATAACAAGATTCTGACCCAACAATTGTCCATATAGGACTAATTTTTACCCATAAATGTTAGATGGAAGTCTAAAGAAAAGGAAAATGATTCTCAGATTTAAATCCACATAATTCAAATTCTTACCAAGTAGCATGTATAGATTGTGACATAGAATAAATAAGCTCCGAAAAGTCTTTGTGGAGGGATAAGTTGGACAGCTTATTCATCTTTATGGGGGGTTCTGCAGTTGATTATCAGTCTCTCATAGTGTTTGTGATGCCTTGCTCTCTGCCTTCACTCTGCTTACAGAAAGAATATGGAACCATTAATGCCAGTAATAATTTTTGTGTGGTAAGAGTGATGGTGTCCTTTGGTAGATCAACATTCAGTGGCACAAAATTTGTTTCCACACCCAATAAAAATGTCAGAGCCTTGTGTTGCAAATTTCTGATTTTCAAAAATTTTCTAAAATAATCAAATTGCAAATATGTCCCTGGTTTGAGCAAAACTGTTGGCATACTTTTTGTTCAAGGCATTAGAAATTTGAGAAGTGTTTAGGTTTAAATATTAGAAATTAGAAGTATTTTATGGCAGTGTATGTTGGTGTATATTTTACAGTATTGATGGATTGACTTCAGTACTTGGGAAATAAATTCATACGTGCTTTAGAATGGAAATAAGAAGATTCAACAGATAATTCTGAAATGTTTTTACGTAATCATTCACATGTAAATTTCTTATTACAAGCATATTTAGAAATATTAGCTTATTATATATAGTTATTTTTTCCTCTTTTTTTAATATTTATTTTTAGGTGTAGATGGACACAACACAATGCCTTTATTTTTATGTGGTGCTGAGGATCAAATCCGGGTCCCGCTCATGCTAGACGAGTACTCTACCACTGAGCCACACAATCCCAGCCCCTGGGTATATATAGTTTTTTAAATAAATGCATATTTTGCTTTACTTGGCATATCCTATTGTGGCTTATCTTAAAATATTTCTTGTAATACTTTTCTTGGAATTAACTTATTCTTGGAAGTGTTTTTCTTACTAAGATAAGTAAACAAGTATAAACTGTATAAATATGAGTATGGCTTCTATACACCTTTTAAGTTCATTGGTAACATTACTGAACCTCTAATTGGCATTTTAAAGAATCCAGTAACTGAATGTTTTGTTTTGCTTTCGAGAATGGCTATGTTAAAGGGCACAGGTGGCTTTAGGTGTAGGAATGAGTATTCAGATGAAATCCACTTAAACACAGCCTTACAGGAGTTAGCCTTCAGAACGTTTTCTTATTCACTTATATATAAAAATGAAAGGGAAGACAGAAATAGAAGGAGTAAGGAATTATATGGGAAAGTAATTACAGCATTTTACCACTAAGGTGAATTAGTCCTCTTCTAATCCTGTCCTCTGCTAGTGTAATGAGAATGGAATGACATTGGTTGTTTTCTCATGATTTAGTTCTTTATGAAAAGACCTGGGTGTTTTTCTTAGAAGATAGTTCACTATGTATTTAAGAAGTGAAACCTACACAGATGAGGTGTGGAGTTGGCATCTTTGAATGCTGCTGTGTTGTCCAGAATTTCTTTTACTTATCAAGAAACTACCTTGGGGGCTGGGGTTATGGCTCAGCAGTAGAGTGCTCACCTAGCATGTGCGAGGCCCTGGGTTCGATCCTCAGCACCACATAAAAATAAATAAATAAAATAAGTATATTGTGTCCAACTACAACTAAAAAAATAAATAAATAAACATTAAAAAAAAGAAACTAAAAAAAACTAAAAAAAAAGAAAAGTGGTTGGAAGATTGTCGTTTTTAAGGCAATATTATTTCTTTAGTGTTTGTTTAAACTTTATAATGTCTGTGTATCATTTAAATCTATAACTCAGTGACATCTTAAATTTTCAGAAAATCATGTATAGAACCAGGTGCAATGGCGCATGCCTCTAATGCCAGTGGTAGGGGAGACTGAGGCAGCCTCAGCAAAAGTGAGGTGCTAAGCAACTCAGTGAGACACTGTCTCTAAATAAAATACAAAATAGGGCTGGGGATGTGGCTCTGAGTTTAATCCCTGGTACTTAAAAAAAAAAATCATGTACAAAAAAGTGGAATTTTAAATACAAATGGTTTCAGAATGAATATGAGACCTTCTTGACTTGTGGGATAAATTCTTGTCAACTTATTTTGATAGTTTCTCCTCCTCTTCAACCTTTCTAATACCTGTACTGTATGTGAGAATGTGCTCATGCCAAAGCTGATGATTAAAAGCCAAAACCCGAAACAAAACAAAACAAACCCCCCTGATTTGTAGCAAATAAACATGTACTTTCTGGCTTTCTTTTCTATCAGCAATCAGAAACGGAGACTGTACATCTGTTTATCCCAGCTCTTTCAGTCGGCGCCATTATCGGCAAGCAGGGCCAGCACATCAAACAGCTTTCTCGCTTTGCAGGAGCTTCAATTAAGGTACTGTTTTGCCAACTGTGGCTGTCCTGGTTCTTTAAGCAAATTAGAAAGATAAATCTTTCCACTTAATAATTTGAATTGAATGTTAGAGGTAGTCTTGGTTACATAGGGCCTGACAGAAAACCCCAAACAACAGTAGCTTAACCTCCAGATTGATTCTGGAGGCAAGAAATCCAGGGCTGGCTTGGCTGGTTACTTTGCTCCTCAAAACCTTGGACTTCTAAGCTCCTTCTAGTCATCTTTGCCAGGTGTGATCTTGGACTCTCATGGTCCCAGAAGACATCATTCAGTGCTCAAACAATCTGGTCTGTTGTCCAAGCCAGAAGGGACAAGTAGGACACAACAAAGCCTTTCTACTAGGGACATTTCCTCAGGATTTGGCCAGATGAAGCTGAAGGGGCATTAGGGAAATCTAGTCTGTGTATAGTTAGCTAAACATTTCATTATTACAGACAGTAGAGTAACAAATATCAGAAGACAGTTAATGTTTTCTGCCATAATATAACAGTGTGTTTTTTGAAGATTCTGTATTTTGACGTGCTAAAACAACATAATATTAAAAAGCTTGATGTATCTATAGTTTTGTTCAGGAAAACATCAGTTAGAGGTTTTATTTTGACTAAGTTTTATGAACCTTTAAAAATTAAGATTAACATACAACATAGTACACTTATCATACAACTCATAAATCCCACTCCTGGGTATTTATCCAAGAGAAATGAAAATTTGGGTTTTCACTCACACACACACACACACACACACACACACACCACTATACTTAAATTATCTATATCATCTTTATTGATAACTGTCCCAAAATAAGAAACCTGGTGAATGGATAAAATGTGTCCATCTATACAATAAATATTACTAAGCAATGCAAAGAGACTATTGATAAAAACAATTTGCAAGGATTCTCATGTATTGTGCTGAGAGACGGAAGTCAGTCTCAAAAAGCCACACATTGTATGATTTCATTTATATGATAATTCCACAAAAGGCAGAACTATAGGGACAGAAAGAAAACAAATCAGTGGCTGCCGGAAGTGAAGGAAGGGGGAAGGGTTGAGCATAATGAAGCTGTTGGAAGAGATTTAGGGGGTGATGAAAAGTGTTCTGTATCTTAATTGTGGTGGATACGTGAGTATGCATTTGTCACCTACACCAGGACACCAAAAGACATTAAATAATTAAAAATCAAAACAAATAGCCCTTATATATTCTTGTATAGCAATAAATAAGTGAGCAAAGGAAAAGACATGGTAAAAGATCAAGTGGTGAAACAACTTTCCTATCCTCCTAGTTTCCTGATTAAGTTAAAAATAAATTCTGAGACATATTCACATTTTAAAAAAAAAAACAAAACCCTAGTAGATCTGTTTTGGAAAAACTGAAGTGAACATTTCATGAATAAGAATTGGGTATTAGAGGCTCAGTTCTACTTTCTGGCTTTCACGAATGTTTCTAATGAGGCTGAAAAAATGTTTTTGTTTCTTAAAAGCCTGAAATGCATAATCTGAAAGATTCATCACCATTCCCAATACTTGGTATTGTTTTACATATGGACAAATTTCCATGTACTTTACTGTATTAGGGATAGAATATTTAGTTATTACCAAATTATCATTTGTGTTCATTTACTTGACATTCAGATCATTCCTCATTTATCTTGCATAAACAGTACAGTGATAAATAAGATATACAGCCTTATTTGTTTAAGCTTATGGAAAGTAGAATTAATGGGTCAGAGGGCATGTGCTTTTTTCAGGCTTTGAAAGAGTATAGCAATTTATACTCTTAACAAATGTAAGAGTGCAGTTAGTCCCAGCCTTCTATCACCAGTATCAATAAACAAAGGTATCTGAAACAAAACAACAAAGCTGGAAAATTGAATACCTTTTTTAAAATAGTGGTTTCCTTAAAGAGTTTTGATTAAAAGCAAGTAGTTGTTTGCAAATACCAGTCAGTGCCCTGCATAAAGTAGGTGACGAGAAATGTTAGCTTTATTATGGAGAGAGAACGCAAGGCTTCATTAAAAATAGATGTTTTTGATGTAAATTATGTGTGGGGAAAGGTCTAGAATGTATCACATAATTGACAGTGATCATCACTGTGGTGCAATTTGGTATTTTTGCTTCCTGTTCCTATATGAAATACTGTTTTTTGTATTACATAGTTATTTATTGTGTTTTGTATAGTAAATGTCAACAATTTTTTTCTTTATGTTTTGATAAGAGGAACTCAGTGGCATTTAATCACTGAAAGCTTTTTTAAATTTTCTTTCTTTTTTTGAGACAGGGTATCACTAAGTTGCTTAGGGTCTCCCTTGCTAAGTTGCTATGGCTGACTTTGAACTCATGATCATCCTGCCTCAGTTTCTGGGATTATAGGCAAGTGCCATCATGCCTAACCAGTTCTTTTAAAGTAACTCCTAGCAACTGGTCCCCAAATCCTTTTGTCCTAGGTCTTGTTGGGAATGTTGGTTCCTCTCTCTATATAAGTTTCTGCATACTTTCCCCAGTCGGGGCTTTTTGTGTGATTTCATATATTCTGTGAAAATAGAAAAGCCCAAGTTCATCTTTCTCCCACTTAATCAGTGTTTATTTATTTCATATCTTATTTTAGTGAACATACATGGGGATAATTTACTAATAATCTTTGATTTGTGGACTTAGTAAAAAATGTGTACAAATAGCTTAAGAAAGCAAGACTTCCTTTTATTTAAATTAGGTAAAAGGGGCTCAGCAACTCTGAAAGTTATAAAAGAGGATAGAGTAGCCTCAAAATATAAGGTGGAAGGTCTCTTGGAAACCCAAGAGGTTCTGATGCAAGCAGATCAAGGGCCACACTTTGCCTGTGCTTACAATACCAGTGGTACTCAATGGAAACAAACCACTGAGTTCATGGGCCAGGTTGCTCAACTTCTCCAGCCTTCCATTTCCCCATTTGTAAGGTAGAGGTCATCCTTCATCAGGGTGTGGGGCAGGTTGGCTGAGAGTCTGAATGTTTAGGTTTACATCAGATAGGCATAGTGTATGTTTATAGTATATAGCAGGAGCTCTAACTGATGAACCCACATTAATCACTGCCTCTCCATAATTTCCTTCCAGAAGGCTTTAAATTCTGCATTTCGGTCAGTCATGCAAATGTCAAGCTGGTTGGCCTAAGTGTTCTATCAATGACACCTGAAAGTATCATAACCCGTTGGTGATGGGTCTATTACAGATCGCTCCAGCTGAAGCACCAGATGCTAAAGTGAGGATGGTGATTATCACTGGACCACCAGAGGCTCAGTTCAAGGTATATGCCCCCAGACTACAGATGGTAGGAAGAACCATAATGCCGCCTTCTCTCAGAATTCCTGATTTTAAATAAAAAACATCTACTCAGTTAAAAAAAATAAAAAGAAATTTCATGTCTAAGATCAGAATGGAACCACAACTCAATTGTATTTTAAAAATAAACCAAAAGCCTTTAATTTTGAGTTCTGAAATGGTTGTTCCATTTGTTTCCCAAAGGTGATTTGTTCAACACCCTTCTATGATAACGCGAAGGAGAGACCTTAAGAGGAAACTTAGAAACTTTCCTATTAATATATGTGCCTTGGAAATGTGTACCCAGAGTTTTCTGTCTCCAAGAGGTTCTAATCTTGAATTAAAGTGCCCCACTTTAGCCCCTGGGTTCAATCCCCAGCACCACCAAAAACAAACAAACAAGCAAAAGGTCCCCCTTTCATCTTACTCTGGAATCAACTCTATTAGCCCTTGCCCGTAGACTCTCCACAAATCACTCTAATCTATGGGATTTTAGAGGCCTGAAGAGCAGGAGCTCTCATAGCATTTGACCTTTGTGAACCACTGCACATGTTTATTGGAGTTTGGGGCCAGAAGGCCTTTCCTTGTATACGCAAAGGTAATGTAGCAGAGTGATATAAAGCAGACATGGCAGCCAGTTTGCTGGTCTAAATCCCAGCTCTGGCATTTACCATCTGAAACCTGGAGCAAGTTATGTCTCTTTGGCCAGTTTCTCACTTATAAAACGAAGATAAAAACATTTACAACCTAACGTAGTTATAAAGTTTAAATAATATACAAAGTGCTTAGAATAGTGCTTAAAACTTGAGCAGCACAATATCAGTGTGCTACAATATACAGCCAACTCAAGGTGAACGGACTGAGACCATGCCAAATTCACAAATATGAATGTATTTCTAATTTTAAATTTTAGTATGGAACTAAGTAGAACAAATTAAAAATTAAAAAATTTAGTATGGAACACTTTGTCTTAGATAAAAGCAACTAAATTCTGTTATTTATCCAAAACCCATATATCTTGGTCCAACTGACCACTTAGCAGCTGTATAATTGGACAGCCATCTAACCTTAAGCCTTCTTTTCCTTAGCTCTAAACTGGCCAGTAACATTGCCTATGTCACATGCATATCGGGAATGTGCCAATCACCCACTGTCTTTTATATATATATATATATTTATTTATTTATTTTTGTAGTTGGACACAATATCTTTAATTAATTTATTTTTATGTGGTGCTGAAGATTGAACCCAGGGCCTCGCCCATACTAGGTGAGCACTCTACCCCACCCCAGCCCTCAATCACCCACTTTCACTATCTCTCCCCCCACCCTTTTACAGGTGTGGGTCACTCAGGATTGAACTCAGGACCTTTTGTGTCCTAGGCATTCTACCCACCCCTAGCATCCTGCCCCTTTCCCCCATCATTCCTTTGACCTCTGTTTCAGGCCTTTTTTTTTTTTAAACTAAAAATCCAAAGCTGTTTTCACTTCATTTACAGAAAGAATAGGAAACAAAGGGGGCGCTTTGAGATGTGAGTACAGTTGGTTCACATTTAGGTGAAGAAATGGACTCCTGCACAGCAGCCTTGTGGTCTAGGCAGCTCATAACTCTGGAATTATGAAAATTCCTTTCTATGCTGAACCTTTAGGGTTCTTAATTTTAAATCTTAAAAGGTAAATACAAATATCAGTTATTGCATGTTTCTCCTTAGATCTAAGCTTTTGCTCTTTTAAAACTGAAATTACTATCTTGGAACTGCTATGTTTGTATCATGGGAAATTCAAAGTTATTTCCCTGTATCTTGCAATTCCCAGGGTTTACAGTTAAGTTAAATATAACACTGTAAGCTATAATGGTTAAATCTCATTTATGTGATCAGTGATAATTCCAAATGAATGTTGTTTTAGAAGTCTAAGGAATAGTTAACCTAATCCATGTCTTTTCTCATTCAAGAGCTTCTATTTTGGAGGATAGTGTACATTGCTAGGGTCCTTTGATTGTATTAGGTAATATGTACATTTTGGCCTGCACCTTTGGTGCAGAAGCTAACCACTTTTTGTTTTTAAGGTTTGCCTGACTTCTTGTCAGAGTCGACCAACTCTTGGGACTTTTTCCTTTGGTGTATACCAGAGCAAATTAATGTTTGTACATAACAAAAGTAGTTTCTTATATGTAATAACTAGTTGCATGCAGTAGGAGATATGTTGGTTGTGAATATCAGGAGTGTGCATTAAATTGATTTTGTAGCCTATTTAAAGCAGAAATCACCTGGATAACATTGATAAACATGGTTAAATAGAAATTCCTCTCAGCAGGTTTCTTACTGGCTCATTTAAACATGAGCTTGGCTCTTCATGAACCTGGTGTAGCTGGCTGTGTAGTTTTTCCCAGTCTTTTCTTGCTTAAGAAAAAGGCAATTAATTTCTCATCGTCAGATAAAAAGTTTTACCTTTCAGGATGGGAGAGCAAATAAAATCTGACACAAATTATTCATTAGACTTGCCTATTTTCATCAGAAATATAGCTTATCCTTCTTTTATCATTGAATCATCTCACCCAAGGTGCATGTATTGTCACTCTTTTCGTAATTTGTCTCTTAAACTACTCAACAGTCTTCCAAATACAGGTGTATCATTACAAAGGGTTATTCCAGTTGGATCTAGGCCAACTTAAAGGGTAATTGGTTTTATGTATTTCAAACATGAATGACGCTGATCAGCTATATTCTCACCTGTAGGCTCAGGGAAGAATTTATGGAAAAATTAAAGAAGAAAACTTTGTTAGTCCTAAAGAAGAGGTGAAACTTGAAGCTCATATCAGAGTGCCATCCTTTGCTGCTGGCAGAGTTATTGGAAAAGGAGGCAAAACGGCAAGTACTTCAGCAAAACCTGTGCAGTGGTATAAAAGGGAAAGCATTGAAAGGTACTTGGGAGTTCCAATCCCTGAATTTTGGCTAATTTATAAAAAGCAGGACCATCTTGACCAAGGTTTGGATAAGAATGCCTATTGTACTTGAATGTGGATGTTGGATACTAGTGAAAGTAATATATCTTTCAGAATACTGTGAGAGGACTGTCCCTATTAGTAAGAGGCATTCAGCATTAATGTTGAGAATGTTAACACTGAACACGAACTGAAAAAATTTCATTTATAAGTTGTACTTTTATAACTGAAAAAAGCAAATAATGTCGGTTCTTTTTCTAACATCTAAGAAATATCCAAAGCTATTTACAAATTGGAAGTAATGGAGAACACACACTTTGGAATCAGATTTTCAGGATTTCAATCTAACTTTGCCATTCACTTGTGTAAATGGGCTTAAATCAGTTTTTTTTTCAAATGAGCCTTAGTTCCAATGTTTTAAAACGAAGACCAGGTACACACTTATAATCCAGTGACTTGGGAGATTAATTAAGGCCAAAGGATTCCAAGTTCTAGGCCAACCTCAGCAACTTAGCAAGACCCTGTGTCAAAATTAAACAATAATAAGGACTGGGATGTAGCTCAGTTACTAAAATGCCCCCAGATTCTATACACAGCACCAAATCAAATGAGGGCAGAACAATTAAGCTCTTGAATTATTAGGATTAAATGAAATTTGTAAAAGCTATAGCTCAGTGTCTGGCACATAGTAAGTGCTTGGGAATGATATTTTTTTTTAAATGCCACTTAAAATCGTGTATATTTGTCTATTTCAGGTGAATGAACTCCAGAATTTGTCAAGTGCTGAAGTTGTTGTCCCCCGTGACCAGACACCTGATGAGAATGACCAAGTGGTTGTCAAAATAACTGGTCACTTTTATGCTTGCCAGGCAAGTGGACTCTAAAATGATGTAATCACTTTTGATTCTCTCAACTGGAAGCAATCCTCCATGAGTATACCACACAAAAATGATTGTTTGATGTTTAACGCATTTATGTTATCTTTTTTTTTTTTTTGAGGGGGGGGTCTTGCTGTGTTGCCCAGGTTGTCCTCAAACTCTTGGGCTCAAATGATCCTTCTGCCTCAACCTCTCTTGTTGCTTGGACTATAGGTGCACCTAGTTGATGCTTAACACTTTTAGTCTTCCTTTTGGCAGATGATTTCAGAGATGACTAGCAAACTGATTAGGATATATTTCTAATAAGCAAATGTGTTCTAATCCTAATTAGAAAAAGGTATGCTCCATGTTTGTATAGAGAAGTCAAATTAAAAAGAACCAAAAAAAAAAAAAAATGCATTTTATTTGAAGTTGCTGATGTAGTAAAGTAACTTTCTATCAGGTAGATTTTTTAAGCTGTCTTTTTTGCAGGTTGCCCAGAGAAAAATTCAGGAAATTCTGACTCAGGTAAAGCAGCACCAACAGCAAAAAGCTCTGCAGTGTGGACCACCTCAGTCAAGGCGGAAGTAAAGGCTCAGGAAACAGCCCACCACAGAGGCAGATGCCAAACCAAAGACAGATTGCTTAACCAACAGACGGGCGCTGACCCCATCCAGAATCACATGCACAAGTTTTTACCTAGCCAGTTGTTTCTGAGGACCAGGCAACTTTTGAACTCCTGTCTCTGTGAGAATGTATACTTTATGCTCTCTGAAATGTATGACACCCAGCTTTAAAAAAAATTTAAAAAATTTAAAAAAAAGTAAATGGGGGAGGGAGGGAAAGAGAAGAGCTCTGCACTTCCCTTTGTTGGAGTTTCACGGCATAACAAATTTTCTAATTTTTCTTAAATATTCCCCCATAATGCCAGAAATTCGCTTGAAAGGTGCATTTGCTAAATTCATCAAATTAATTAAAATAGATTGCTCCTAAATCCAGTTGTTAAAATTGGATCAGAATAGGGTTATCACAGGAACTTAAATGTTAAGCCATTAGCATAGAAAACCTTTTTATTTTTATCTAACACTAACATGAATAACCTAAGGGAAGTGCTGAATGGTGTTGGCAGGGGTATTAAATGTGCATTTTTACTCAACTACCTCAGGTATTCAGTAATACAGTAAAAAACAAAATTGTTCCTTTTTTGAAAATTTTATATACTTTATAAAGATAAAAGTCCAACCATTTTTTAAAAAAAATTAAAATTCAACAGCTATTAGTGAACAGGAAAATAACTGAATGGAATTTTACTTCTGGCTGGTGACAGTAAAGCTGGAAAATTAATTTTAGGTTTTTTTTTTTTTTTGAGGCTTTTGACAGTTATTAGTTGGAAAATCCAGTAAATATTCAAAGATATGGAGCAGTGCCTATATTTGGAGAGCAGCAATACCATTTATTCCTTTGTTTATAGTTGGGAAGGTTTTTGATGGTACTAACAGAGCAATGTGGTGGCAGGAGGTTTTGGAACGGCTAGTTTAAATGGCTTCAGGAGACTTCAGGTTTTTGTTTAGCTACATGACTGAATGCATAAATGCTTTGTGCTTTTGACTATCACAACCTAAAGAAAGTGCGTCAACAAAAAAATGCAAAAACTTTGAAAAGGCTTTTTTTTAAAAAAAAAAACAAAAACAAAAAAAACAAGCTCCAGCTTGTCTTATAGGATGTTTAGTTTGCCAATACACTTCAGACCAATTGGTCTACGCTTTAAGCAGACTCCTAAAGAACTGCTTTGCGAAGACCAATGAGACAGATGGTGTGACAGTGCTAAAAGCAACAAATGGGCTACATCTCCTTATGCCTGGCGCTGTCATGATCCTCACTAAGCTGTTTTGAAGATTTTTAAGCAATGGATTAAAAAAAAAAAAAAAACTAAAGTATTAAATAGAATATAGCAGATTTTCTGTATAATCTGCAACCAGTTATTTGAAAATAAGTCAAAAGGTAGAGAATGCAAGAAAATAGTTTTGGGAATATAATTTGAATGACTGTGAAAACATCTGGCCTTTGACAATGAAATTGTTTGCCCATTCCTTAACTCAATGGCAAAGCCCAGTAATGTACAATTGTGTGGGTATGGGTGGTCTCTAGGCCACGCTGCTCTCTAAATTTTTGTTGCTTTTGTTCATGAGATGATCACAGTCATCATGTTATTATAATCTGAAAGGCATTACATAACCCTTTAAGAATCATTTGCCTCGTTCATAATTCAAGATGAATTTCTACACGCTTAGGTAAATTTTTCTGAAGATTAGCAATATCATATTAGACCTGAAAATGATTTAAAATGTTTCCCTAAATATTTCAGAAAACCAGTTAATTTTGTAGTTTTTAGCAAAAAAGTGCCCTTTTTGTCACTGAATTCACCTAGCATTCATTTTTTTTTTTTTTTTAATACAATGAATTTAAACTGCTAAAAATCAGACTGGCTTTTGGTTGGATTTCAGGTGAGATGTGTTTAAGGCCAGAGTTCTTCCTTGATATTTGATTTTTCTAGTATTTTTCTTTTTTAATTCAGATAGGTGCTGCATTTATATCTGCTGGTTTAAATTCTGCCATATTTCACTTCTAGCCTTTTAGTGTGGCAAATCATGTTTTACTTTCACTTAAGCATTTGTAATTTGGAGTATCTGGTACTAGCTAAGAAATAATTCTATAATTGAGTTTTGTATTCCCCGTGTATGGATCATTCCTCATCTATAATGTGCCCCAAATGCAGCTTCATTTTCCAGATACCTTGATGCAGAATAAAGTTTTTCATCATTAGATATAGCCTGTTGTGTAATGTTTCCAGGTGAATGTGAACGTTTTTTATTTAGTCTACAAACTTGGATTTTTAGTAACAGAATGTTAGTTTCAAAATAGGCACCAATACTTGTAGATTTTACTCTCATCCATGGCACATTAATGTGAACACTGATTAGACTACTACATACAAATTAATGACTACAGGTTCCAAGAGTTTTTCTTAATACTTTACATTCTGTGAAAGCTGTAGAAGTCCTATACTAAAAGAATATTCTGTGGTATTTACTACTACTATTTATCCCCTCAATGTTACAAGGTCAGTGAATGTTGATGTACTTTTGTGTTAACAAAAACACTTTGGCCACTCCACAAGATTTCCATTTAAGGAAAATTAATAAAAATCTGAGCAGAGTCTCAACACAGGGACCAATGCTAAAACTCAGGAAATTTTGGTTTGGTAGCTGATCAGGATAGACAACTTGTTTTGGGTTTGACTGTATCAACAATTCACATCTGTCATCATGAACAACCATGAGGGTAGATAAGATTTGTTCTAGCAAGGAGATGCAATTTAGGAACTGTTTTCCAAGAAGTGACTCAATCCAATTCATCTGACTCAAAGCAATCTAAGTTTATTCACATTTGAACTCCACTGGAGTTAGGGATGAAGTGTCATCTTCTATTCCAATAATGAAGTCTTCAGGTAATGTCTCAGGTGCTATCTGAGCTAACTGGTCATCATAAGAACGTAGGGTCCATAATTTCTCTAATTCATAGGTTTCTCTGGTTTCTGGAAGCATCAAATGAATCACCATGCTGCCTATCAGAGACAGATAAGAATTAATGAAGAAAACAATTCATTTACTTTTACTCTTGTCTCTCAACTCTAATCTAATGTAAGTTTAGGATCTAGGAACTAGAGCAGTGGTTATCAAAGTGTGGTTTCCCAGATTAGCATCACCCAAGAGCTTTTTAGAAAGGCAAATTGTAGACCTCAATCCAGTAAAACATACCATAGAAATGATGCTGTGTGTTCCTTACTGCATCCATCATATAAGGAGGTACATGATGTCAATATGTAAACTTCTGATGGAAATGATCTGTTAGGTTTCTCATAGGAAACAATTCTCCTTAGATATTTCTGAAAGTACTCACTGCCTTTGGCTCTAGTCTGTCTTTCCAAGGCTGTTTATATAGTGCATTGTCTTATTGGAACGACAGTATTTCCCTCCACAACAGAGGACAGCAGTCGTTCTGATACTGCTAAATAGCCTCTGATATACAAGATAATCACCCAGACTCAACAAAATTACCCAATCTAAAATATTAATGGTGAAAAACATAATACTTTACTTTCTGTGAAGGCTGTAGAAGTGCTATACTAAAAGAATATCCTGTGGTATTTACTACTGCCTTCTATCACCTCAAAAGTTATAGGGTCCACGAATGGTGATATACTTTTGGCCATTCATTACATAGAATAAAACTTGCATTTAAGCAAAATTAACAAAAATCAAAGTCAACACAGGACCAATGCTAAAATTCCAGGAAATTCTGCTGCGACCTCAGGGACAGCTTGTTTTTGCTTTGATTATATCGACAATTCCTACACATCAGGCATCATGAACACCCATGAGGTTATAGCCAAGCAAGCCCACTTCCTCCTTGTTATAAACATCATCTTAATAATCTCAGAGCTCCTCTTAAAACTCTGTACGTGTGTCATCTGGCCCCTCTGTTGTCCTATGAGACTGGGGCTCAAAGACCAAGTACAAAATTGATGATGCTGGTTACCGCTACTGCTGCCAACTGCCCTAACTCCAGAAGAGTTTTATATTTTCTATCAGTACCTATGACAATGGAAGGACAACTTACTAGCTTGCAAGTAGGATAAAATTTCAGACCCCTCAGTTCTTGACATTTTCTCTCTATAACGTCTTGTTGGAAGCTGTTTTGAAGCTATACTCACTACTACAACCTGGTATCTTTTTAAAATTCCAGCCTTGTGCTCTCATTTGAGTTATTTATGGCCAAGGTGACATATACTTTATCATCAAGCCTTCCTCTGCTACCATTAAAGAATCTCCTCTACTTCTGTGTCTATAGTTATCCTTCCAGACCTGAGTGGCTAGTTACATATACACCATACAGTATGTCTCCCTCCAAGAGGGTCTCATCTAGCGTACTTTTGTTAGATATAAGACTTCACATGTGAAAAAGACCATGTGAGTTATAACAGAACTTTTATTACTTGAAACAAATTTCAAAAATCTTACTTGGAGATGCACTCAGCAATTTTATCTCAATCCTTTTGTAGCTAAAATCAACTCAATATTAAACAATATCAATACTTATCTGTGAAATATGCCCAAATAACTTACCAAAATCCACACAAAGCCAGTCATCAGTATCCTTCCCTTCGATCTTAACATAAGGCTCACTTTTACGTTTCAGGTGTTTGTACTGAAAAAAAGTCAGTCCATATATTAAAAGGAGGGAAGAGGTCTTTGCTCTTACTGAGGATCCAGTAGCATTTGTCTGGTCTGAATTTGAAAACTAGCTTACTAGTTTTGGTACTTTGCCCCAATATTAATAGTTTAGGGAAAATATCTCCCTCCTATCTTCTCTATACCTCTTTGCCAAATCCTCCTGTGTAAGTCCTGAGAGGACCACCCTATTCATTCACCAAGGTGCCCACTCAACATTTGGTCCTCATCTGTATCTTCCCTTATACCCAATATGCTTCTCCTCACTCTCGGGGAAGACAGATGTCACTTTCCTATTTTAAGGCAAGATCTCAGTGCTATTGATTTAATTTCATCTGGCTTCAGGACATGTTTAGGGAATTTCATCATCCCATGTGTCTATTCGCAATACAGCTATTTTGTCTGATATTAGTGTAAATCAAAACCTATTACCAAAGACAAACGACATTATATAAGGTCAAAGGGTTTAACTCACCCAGAAGATGTAACAATTATAACATCAGAGCTCCTAACCATACTGACAACTGAAATGACAGCAGCACAAAAACAGACTTTAATACCTCTTGTCCCATAATGGACAGAGTAATCAGAAGATCAGTAAGGAAACAGGACTTGAACAACACTATAGACCAACCAGACCCAACAATTGCAAAATACACATTTTCCCCAAACGCACATAGGAAATTCTCCAGGACAGATCAGGTATTTGACCACAAAGGAAGTCTTAAATTTAAAAAGAATGAAATACAAAGTATTTTTCTGGTCACAATGGAGTAAAAGAAATCAACAGGAAAAAAAATTAGAAGATCCACAAATGTGGAAATCAAACAGCATGTTCTTAACCAACAGATCAAAGAAGAAATCACATGCGAAAATAGAAAATAATGAGAGGAATGAAAGTTAACATACCAAAATTTCTGGGATGCAGCAAAAGGGAAATTTCATAGATATAAATACTTACACTAAAAAAAGATTACAAATCAACAACCTAAATTTATACCATAAAGCAGTAAATGAAAAACAAAGCTGGCAGAAGAAGGAAAAAATAATTAGGAAAAAAAATAGAAAAATTAGTGAGCCCAAATTTGACTTTTCAAAAGTATCAACCAAAATGACAAATCTTTAAGGGGGGAGGAGATTCAAAATCAGAAGTGAAAGAAGACATTACTACCAATTTAAGAGAAAAGGATTGTAAGAATACTATAGACAACTGTATACAACAAATTGGACAACCTAGGTGTAACAGGCAAATCCCTAGAAATACACAAACTACCTTATGAAGAAACAAAGTTTGGATAGACCTGTAACTTGTAACTAGTAATCAGAATCTCCCAACCATAAAAAAAATAAAATAAAAAAAAAACCAAAACAAAACAAAACAAAAAAAAACCAGCCCTGAACCAGACAGGTTCACTGGTGAATTAAATCATTCTCAAACTCTCAAAAAAACTAAAGAGTGAACACTTCCTAACTTGTTCTGAGGCAAACCTCACCCTGATAGGAAAATCACCAATACAAAAGTCCTCAACAAAATATCAGCAAACCAAATTTAGCAGTATGTTAAAAGGATTATATACCATGATCTAGTGAGATTCATTCTGAAATACAAAGATGGTTCAACATATGAAAACCAATCAATGTAATATACCACACTAATAGAATGAGGGAAAAAATCCACATGATCATCTGAACTGAATCATTTAACAAAATTCAATGCCCTTTTAGATATAATCAGTCAACAAACTGGTAATAAAAGGAAGATATGTAATAACCAGCATATAGCACTCAGCTAACATACTAGATGGTCAAAGACTGAAAGCCTTTCCTCTAAGAACAAGACAAGAATGCCCACTTCTATTCAGAAGAATACTGGAAGTTCTCGCCAAAGTAGTTATGCAAGAAAAAGAAAAGGCATCCAAATTGGAAAGGAAGAAATAAAATTATCTTTTTGCAGACAATGTGATCTCATAATGTAGAATTCTAAAGATGCCACCAAAAACATGGTTAAGACTAATAAATTCAAAATTATAGGATACAAGGCCGACACCAAAATCAGTTGCATTTCTATATTCAAATAATAATGAAAGTTAATGAAATTAAGAAAAAATTTCATTTACAATAGTGTCAAAAAGAAGAAAATACCAAGAATAAACTTAGCAAAGGAGGCAAAAAAGACTTTTACAATAAAACTTCAAAACACTGATGAACTGGACACGGTGGCACATGCCTGTAATCCCAGTGACTTGGGAGGCTGAGGCAGGAGGATCATGAGTTCAAAGCCAGCCTTAACAATTTAGCAAGGCCCCGAGCAACTTAGAAAGACCCTGTCTCAAAATAAAAAGGGCTAGGTATGTGGTTCACCCCTGGGTTCGATCCCTAGTACCAAAAGACAAAAAACATTGATGAAAGAGATGACACCAATAAATGGGAAATATTCTGTGTTCATGAAAAGGAAGATTTAATATTGTAGGGAAGTCAATACTATCCAAAGTAATCTACAGATTCAATTCAATCCCTATCAAAATCCAGTGATGTTTTTTGAAAAATTAACCTAACCCTAACAAAAACAATCCTAAAAAAGAACAAAGTTGGTGGTCTCAAATTTCCTGGTTTTAGAACAGTATAGAGACTGGGTGTGTGGCTCAGGACATGCCCAACAGGCCCTGATTTCAATATCCAGGACCCACCTCCCGTCCCTGCTCCTGCAAAAACAAAACAAAGCTAAAACCTTAGTACAATGTTAAAGTAATCAAAACTTGTAGTACTGGCATAAAGTCAGACCTATACACCAAAGGAACAGAATAAAATCCAGGAAGAAAGAAAAGGAAAAAAAAAAAAGCCCTCACATAAGTTGTTGAATGATTTTCTGCAAGGGTGCTGAGATCTTAAATGGGGAAAGGCTAGTTTTTTCAGCAAATGGTGCTGGGGAAGATGTATATACACATGGAAAACCTTATACCATCAATAAAAACTAACTTAAAATGGATTAAAGCTGGGCACAGTGGCACATCAGAAGGCTGAAGGAGGAGCATCATAAGTTCAAGGCCAATATGGGCGACTTAGCAAGATCCTGTCTGAAAATAAAAAGGACTGGGAATATAGTTCAATGTCCCTAGGCTCAATTCCTACTGCTGCAAAAAGGAAGTGTGCATGCTTAGCTGGGTGTGGTGGCACACACCTGTAACCCCAGCAATTTGGGAAGCTGACTGCAAATTTGAGGTCAGCTTCACCAAGTTAGCAAGACATTGTCTCAATTTTTTTTTTTTTTAATTTTTAAAAAGAGCTGGAATTTTGCTCAGTGGTAGAGCGTCCCTGCTTTCAATCCCTGGTACCTTCCCAGATGTATTAAATACCTAACCATAAGACCTAAAATTATAAAACTTGTAGAAGAAAATTTTTGAAAAGTTGTATAATATGATTTGGCAAACAAAGCAAAAAGGCTACCCACAGAATGGAAGCAGATATTTGCAAATTACGTATCTGTTAAAGGATTAATAACCAGAAAACAACTCCTACAACACAACAACAAAAAATCAAATCTGACTTAAAAATAGACAAGTGTCGAGCTGGGGACATAGCTCAGTTGATAGAGTGCTTGCTTCACATGCACAAGGCCCTGGGTTCAATCCCCAATACCACAAAAAAAAAAAAAAAGACAATTATCTATTTAAATAGACATTTCTCCATAAGCTCAATAAAATGAAAATATGTTCAACATCACTAAGCAGGAATGCAAATAAAACCACAATGAAGTATTATTTTTACACCCATAATAATGACTATTATTAAAAATAACAAAAACTGTTTTGGCTACTATCTGGAGAAGTTAGAAACTTTAACATGACTAGTGGGAAGATAAAATTAAAAATAAGCCGGGTACAGTGGCACACACCTGTAATCCCAGCGGCTCAAGAAAACTGACACAGGAAGATAGCAAATTCATAGCCAGCCTCACCAACAGTGAGGTGCTAAGCAACTCAGTGAGACCCTATCTCTAAATAAAATACAAAATAGGGCTGGGGATGTGGCTCAGTGGTCAAGATCCCCTGAGTTCAATCCCCAGTACCCCTCCCTGCCAAATTGAAAAACAGAATTGCCATGTGAACCAGCAATTCCACTACATCTAAAAGAACTAGAAGCAGGGATATGAACAAGTATTTTGATACCATGTTATTGTAGTACTACTCACAGTAGCCAAAAGTTGGAAGCAACCTATCAGTGGTAAATGAATAACAATGCAATATACACATACAGTAGAATATTATTCAGCCTTAAAAAAGAAACTCTGGCATATGCTATAGCATAGATGAATCCTGAAGACACAATGTTAAGTGAAATAAGCTAGTCTCAAAAGGATAAATACTATATGATTCTATTCATGTAAGATACTAAGAGTAGTCAAATTCATGAGCAACAAAGTAGAATGGTAGTTGGGGAAGAGGGAATGGAGAGTTATTGTTGAATAGCTACAGTTTTAGTTTTGCAAGATGAAGAAAGTTCTGAAGATGAAAGATAAGTAATGATTGTACATCAATGTTAATGTACTTACTCAACAAATATACACCTAAAAATGATTAAAACGGTGGGTGCTTCATTATATATATTCTAACACAAACAACAAAATGTTCTTGACATAGCATTTCTCTCCTTTCTCATCTAGAATTTTCAAAAAAATAACTTCTAGTCCCTTATTTCTACTCTTCCAGAAACCTCTTTGAAAAACCTCCCAGTCTTTTTTTTTTTTTTTTAATAGTCCTGAATCTAATGGTGACTGCTAAATCTTTATCTTACTCCATCCCAATACTGCATATAATAGAGACACTGTCTGATAATTCTTCTTCTTGCTCTCCTGGTTTTCTTCCCAGATCTATGTTTTTGGAATTTGCTCTAACATGTTACATCAGGGCATTTTCAGACCCCTTGTTTCACAATTCAATTTCAGCTATACTTTTGGTCTTAACTGCCTTCTCTTTAGCCAGTTTTCAACAGGGAAGAGAAGTCCATTCCCCTCTAGAATTGTACCAGAATCAGCTAGAAACTTCCAAGTACAGCCCCACCCCCCATTCTGATTCATACTAAGCTTAATTAGTAATTAGGCTTAGTATTTAGTACCTGTGAATTCACTGGGCAAGGAATACATCTATCTCACTACTTTCCCCAGGCTGAGCACAGTGCTCAAATATTTGATTTAAAAATGTAGGCCAACACAGACAACTTTTTGCAAATATGGAAATGTTTCATGAATATCCAATAAGGTCGCAATCAGCCACATGTAGCCACTGAGCACATGAAGTGTGGTTAGTACAAGTTAGGAACTGAATTTGTAAGTTTAATTTACAATTATAAATACCACATGTGGCTAGTGGCTACTGTATAATAGTGCTGTTTTAGAAATGCTTCTGGCTTATACTGTCTTCTAGCCTGCCTTCGGGTTTTTTTTTTTTAAATTTTTTTCTCTGTGGTCACAAGAGTCAAAAATTGGAAATAGCCTGACTCAACAAGGCTGGACACTGTTCCTAAACCTTTCACTACCAAAGAACATAAATACACTTTTTACAAATTCTGAAGTTGGGCTTCTTAATAATTTATTAATGATGTATTACTTAATGATTCATTCTGTAAATGTTGGTGCTCAGCCTTGACACTGACACTATTCCACTTAGTTAATGATCCAAAAAAGAAAATAAAGCATCCTACCATTTTCACAATATAGTAGGCCATGGCGTGTAAGTGTCGGGTGGAAGTTCCACTACCAATCACAAAGTAATCTGTATATCTCATTTCTGGAGGAACCTTGATCACACAAATGTCTCTTGCATTTTCTTGCCTCAGAAGTGAAACCAGCATATCGATGTCAAACTTGGGACCAGTATGATCTGAAAGGCACAAGTATTTGTTTGTGACATGTCCAAGTAGGAGAGAGACCTGTATGCACCTAGAGATGCAGATGCCTCCCAAAGGAGACTAAAACTGCTCCTCTAAGAGGATGTTAAGATTCAAAATGTTCTAAAAGATGGCAGGGCCTAGGCCTTCTGGAAGCTGAACCTGGGCAGTAGTTTCATATAGCATTGCTCAGCTTTCATGATTTGCTCAGATTACACACAGCCACTGTATTTCCTTTGCTAATACCACATGCAAAGTAGAACCATAAGTCAATGACAAATGATTTTCTAGTCACTATTACTAAAATGAGCAATACATCTCAAACACAGAAATGCCATTAAAGGGGCTGGGGTTGTGGCTGAGTAGTAGAGCACTTACTTAGCGCAGATGAAACACTGAGTTCCATCCTCACCACATAAAAAAATAATAAAGTAAAAAAAAAAAAAAAGAACAGATATAGAATATTTAAAAGAAAGAAATGCTATAAAAAATCAGTAGCACAATTTGGGAAGGAGGTGATATTCTGGGGCATATTAAATCAAATCCCTGCCATAAAGGTTTATAAAACCAGAATTATCAGCCGGAAGGGATCTCAAATAGTCACAGCCTTCAAGTGAGATGAAGAAACAGGCCCTAGTGGAACTAGTGTGGGCTATGATCAATCAGTAAAGTGATTCTCAGTTTGAACCATCATGTTTTTCCTCATAAAGCAATTTGGGTTATTAGCAATTTTTACCCATGAAAATCTTTTTTTATGTAGAGATTTCAACACTCACTTCTTTAGCTTGGAGTATTACTAGAACCTATAATTTTACAGCTCACCTAAGTGCTAAAGCTGACTCCAAAGGACCTAGTAGCTAAATTCATCAAGAGTTCGCCCTCTAATAGTCTACAATATCTTTTTTTTTTTTTAATAAACTTTTTTTTTTGGTACCCGGGATTGAATCCAGGGTGCTTAACTACCAAGCCACATTCCTAGTCCTTTTTAAAAATTGTTTGAGACAGGATCTTCCTAAGTTGCTGAGGCTGGCTTTGAATTTGAGATCTTCTTGCCTCAGCCTCCCTGAGTCGCTAGGATTACAGGCTGGCGCCACCGTGCACGGCTATTACTTCTTGGATATAACCTGTTTACCATTTCTCAAGTTTCTAAAAACATTTGCAATAATTACAGTATTTAACTGGGATTCACCTTGTTGGCGCTTCTCACGCATACCTTGGCCCCCGCCCCTGGCTCTTCCTAAGAATCTCACATCTCATTTCCCAGGACCTAAGGTCGAGAGTGAAGGGAGGGGAGTACCGCGACGTTTTGATGCCAAGGGTCCGGTGAGGCCATGCCACGGTTGATGCTTTTAAGACTACAGCTCATCTTCTGGCCTGTTTCTTCAATGTGAAACAGGAAGGCTGGCGGCAGCAACCTTTGACGAACCTTCTTGTTCTGGGTCTGTAGTTACGTGACTCGTTAACAGAAATACATAAAGCAGGGAACCCACGACCTCCTCCGTCAGGACTTGGCTCCCAGCTACCCAGAGAGAGGTTCCCTCCACCCCGTACCTGAAACGTCCAGCTCTGGGAATCCCTCGCCGGGTGTCCGCTCCTCCTGCTGAGGCCCATTGTGCAGGCCACGCACAAGGCCCGGGGTCAGGTTAGCCCGGCAGAGCGCTGGTCCCGCGGGAAGCCGCCGCACAGCCAGCAGCTGCAGCCGGGGTCCCACAACCGCAGCCGGTAGTGGTGCACGCCGCGAGACATCCCGGAGCCTCAGGAGCCGCCCGAGACGCCGCGCCGCACAAACGCCGAACTCCATCGCCGTCGCAGCGCGTCACGCCGCGGGGCGGGGCTTCCACGGAGCCCGAGCAGGTTCTGCATCTTTCGATTGGCCCAGTCAATCCGGCAAGGTCTGGAATTTCTGCGTCTGATACACGGGCGGAGCCGGGGCCGTGGGCGGAGCCGGGGCCGTGGGCGGAGCCCCGAGCCAGGGCAGCACTGCAGTGACCCAGAAGGACTGACTAACTTGGGAGTAGGTTTCCTAGGGAGGTAATGGTTGGTTAGTGACAGCTTACCTTGAGTTTTCTCTCTCATCTTGTGTCTCTTCTTTGTCCCGTACTACTTAAGGCAAATTAAGACATAAATTTTCTGATGCTGGGGTGTAGCTCAGTGGCAGAGCTCTTGTCTAGCATATGGAGGCTATGGGTTTAATCCCAGACACTGCCCCCCCCCCCCGCCACTCAAAACAACGTAATTTTTACCCTCTCCCATTTCCAAAAAACATTCAATATTCCTTTGAAAATCTGAAATCCCATGAGGAAAATCGAATATCCTGGATAATGTGGGGTAGAAGGCAGAGGTGTAAAGTACCGTATGGGAAAAGTTCTTAAGTCAACTGTTCATCTATCTATACCCTTGAATGGAAGAGTTTCCGCCAGTGGAAGCACCGCGAGAATGAGGAACACTGACATGACATGACTAGCGTCACATACTTAATGGCCAAGATGAAACTGGAAGTAGGGTGTCTGGAAGGAAAAAAAAAAAGTGACTTCCTGAAAGGAAGTTTCCTAGAGAGGACAGTGAAAGTAGGCAAATATCCCCATTGCCTGGAACATGTTGCCATGGGGCTGTAATAGTGCCTGAGGAGGAAACAGGCTAAGCTATGACACTGGCTGCTCTAGAAATATTCGAATTCAAATTGGAAGGAAAATAGCCAGTTTTGAGGGAAAGAGAAGAAACTTCTTTCAAAAATTCTACTTTCAAAATCCCTGAAATTAAGTAGAACTTTTAAAGAAGAAAAGGCAGGGAAGTGACAAAAGGTAGAAAATGTGCAATGCAGATTTATTTAGCCCATGTTAGGACTAAGTGGACACAGGTTCCCATCTTCTTTGGTGCTTGTCAGGGTCGGGGCAGCCCCCTCTCCCGCCCCTCTCCACTCAGCATGAGGAAGCCATTCCCAATTTCAAATAGGGATGGGGCACAAATTCAGTCTGTTTCAAACTCTGCCAAGCACATTGTAGGTATTCCAAAAATGTCCAATACATTATTGAATTTCTTTAAAAAAAACTCCAAACACTAATTCAATAGAAATATTCATAAAATACAGGAACTAATATAAGCACCTGTGTGGCCAACTCAAATATTTTCAATCACTTGAAGTTATTTTTGAAAGTAAGAAAAAGTATTACAAATAAAGTTATGTCTCCTCTGTCCTCCCAGAGGAGACATAACTCCCTCTCAGTCCCACTGTCTTCAATTCCATTTCCCACAGGCATGAATCTGATGTTTCTCCCAGTTTTTTGCCCTCTGTTCCATGATCTCACCCTTGTTTCTGATCATCCCAAACCTGCTTCACCACCTGTATTTGCCATCAAAGATTATTGTATATACCATAGTACTTGCATGAGGAAATTAGAATAGTCATGCATGACTTAATGATGGGGATATGTTCTGGAAAATGCATCATCAGACAATTTCACTATGCAAATGTCATACTTGCACAAATTAAGATGGCTAAGGCATGAAGAAATATAATCTTATGAGACCACTATTGTATATGCAGTCAGTCATTCACTGAAGTATTGTTATAAGATGCATGACTATATATTATGTCTACAAATTGGCCTCATGGGAAGGAAACACCTTGTACTCATTCTGATAAAACCCATTTGAAAAATACCATCAGGCACACACATGTGGTTGAAATTAGCCAAGGAGGCTGCACCTAAGAGAGGGTGGGTTGCATGGGAAGTTATATGTATGTATGATAAGTCAAAATGCATTCTACTGTCATGTATAACTAAAAAGAACAAATAAAAGTTAATTTTTTAATTGAAAAAAAAAGGTGGGTTGCATTTCAGTAGAGGGAAGAGAAAGGTCTTGGCTTAAGGCTTGTGCTTGTGTCCCATGAGTCTAAGAGACCAAAGAAGAGACCAGGAGAAATAGGGTCAGTGCTATCTAGAAATAGATAGTTTAGCAATTGCATATCTCAATGATCTTGTTCAAGAGACAGGAGAATGTTCCTGGAACTGAGGATGTCATGGTTAATCACTTACAAGGGTTGTGTAGTCTGGAAAAAATCAGGTCCTGTTAGAAACATTCTTCTAGGCTTCACTAGGAATATCACATTCTGGTTACTATCAAGGCTGAGAAGCAGTCTCAGGGCCCTTAGAAATCTACATGTTAAGATAAACGTGGACTTTTATACCTGGGAGAGGAGGGATACCTGTGAAAGTAAAAGGAAAGTTAAAACAAAAGCGACATTAAAAGAGCTTTTTCTGAATGGAATCAGGAGGCTTTTAGGGAGGCAGGACTTATGATGCATGATTCAAGCTGCCGCCTAGAAACATGAACTTTGGTCACCTCCACCCTTTGAGTGTAGACATCTGGAATAGATAATTTCATTGTGCCCCAAGACTATACATGTATTTCAAGAGACTATTAGATTTTTGTTTTATGGACATTTTATGAAGCACATGCATTCTTTTTCTTATCTTCTATCAGTCACACAGCCCATGTTCTCAACTCTAACAGAATTCTTCCTAAAAAAGAATTTTTATTGCCTTGTAATAACAGTTTGCTTGTATAAGTTTCCATCTTCCCTGCTGTCACAAGCGGCACTATTAATAATTACTCAGAGGTGAATTGTCTTTAAATGCACATGCATATTCCATAACACCAATTATTAAATATAAACAATTAATGCAACCTAGGGCAACCACAAGCCCCCAAATACCTCCAACACCATGAGATTTCTCTTAGCCAAAGAGCAGACATTGTCCTTGTCTTGTGGTTCTCTCCAGTTGACGGCTGGACCTCAGGGAATGGTGGAGTCAGTCCAGGGATGGTCAGCAAGGAGGCTAGTGTCACTGATGTCCTTGGAACAAAACTCTTCAATGTGGCAGGACCAGTAATTTAAATACAGTTCCAAGTTGGTGGTGTATGTGGGTGATTGGTTACACCCAGTGAAAGTCAATGTCCATTGAGGTGTCCAGTGAGGTGATGTAATTGCAGCTGAGCATGTTCTTTGTGCACGTCCATGGAGCTGTGCTCCCTATCAATTGTAACCAGTCATTGCTTAGCATTCCTATGGCTAGTGCTCCCTTACAGTTCTTTATCAATTGCAAGCAGACATGACTAAGCAGTTCAATGGCTGCTGTTCCTATGTCCAGCAAGTTAGTGAGTCCCAGCATGTCCCAGCATGTCTATGGCAGATGTTCCTTACACCTGACTTCTTTGGAAAAATGATTCAGAACTCTATGGACCTATGTCTCCTGAACTGCAATTTCTAAAACCACAAGTAACATTCTTTTACATCCATAGTTTCTTAGTTTCATTTGACTGACATGGCGAAGCTGTGTCTATATGCAAAGTGACACCCGTGCCTAATAATCTGCAGGTGAGACTGTGATATTCAGGGATGCCATTCCAGACAGCAGTGTTTTATCATCTATAATTTCAGAGACTATGGTGCCAGCACTGTATCCTTAATGTCAATTACCAAAAGCTTGTTTTTGCAAGTCATACTTCTTACCTGAGGTAAAGACTCAGAAATAGCTATTATCTGTAAGAGATGTCCTCAGAAATGCAAATACCTAACTCCTTGAAAATTGGACCATCTATTGTTGGACTTTGTTTTCAGATCTTGTAACTTTTTAAAGTTAGAATAGAAGGGGGTGGTAGTTTAATGATCTTTACCTTTGGAGGACTAAGACTCAGGAAGGATTGAGGCCCACATCAGCTTTCTGAAGGAGTCAGGAATTATAAATTAACCAGGTTCGTGACTCCACGGGCTTCCTTATTATAAACACTAATTACATTCCTGATGCCAGGAGCCTCCTATGTGTTCTGTTGGCAGTGAGACCAAAAGGCTCCCAAATTTGTTTCCTGGGCTTTGTAGGAAGTTGCAGTCACAGAGACTTTTTCTCACAGAGCCCTGCTTCAAAAAAATAAAAAAAATAAAAAAATAAAATAGACAAGCAGGAAGCAAACTGGTCCAGAAAAAAAGACACAGGGGCTGAAGTAGAGAAAAACTGAGCAATTTTCTTGAATTTACCCTCATCTGGACCACAAGGCCCAATAACACAATGTCCGGCACATCATTGTGTTATAGGTGAATGACTGAATTCATGTAGTTTTGGGACTGGAAAGTTTGTCAAGTCTAACCTTTGCTTACTCCCCACATGCATTTATTATGCACCTGTATTTCCTAATCTGTGGACCATGAACCTCCTTTTGACGACAAAGGATCCTCAAACCCACAGATGCATCAAATATTGTCTTTGGAGGGAGTAAACATGTTTCCTAAGCAAATGGAGGTAGAATGCCGCAGTCTGGCTGGGAACAATTCAGGAGCCACTTGTCAAACAGAAACGAACTTTATTTTTAGAACACACACCCACCACACAAGCTCTTCAGGAATTCCCTCAGAGCCCAACTGCCACCACCAGCTTCAGGGAAGCCTCTCAACCCCCACTCCTCCTGCTCTTGAGGCTGATTGGCTGGGTCATGTGGGCAGAGCCAAAAGATTCCCCCAATGAGCAGCTCCGTGGTCTGAAAGGGCGGGGAAACAGCCCAATGGGCATCACTACAGAGGAGCCAATCAGCTGGCAGCTGGAAGTTTGCTGGGGCCCCTTCGGCTATGGCTCTCAATAGTAGATACTATTGGAATTCAATGAAAGGTTATTTAAAAGTATTGCTTAGTTCAAATCAGCTTTTTGTCATGTGTCTATTCAATGATTAATATGTAAAGAGCCACAATTTTTTGAACAAAAAGTCATTATAATGAAAAAGGTTGGGACTGCTACTCCACGGTCTGGGCAACCTTTTCCAACCTCACAGGGCAGCCCATGACACCACTAGGCAGTTGGTGAATATTCCTGTCATTTAAATTGAATCATTTCTCCTGGATTTCCCCTCTCTGTGTACCATTTCTTCTCTTCAGAGAATGGCTGAGGCTTTGAAGGGCTAGGATTAAAATGACCTCTCTTATAAATTACATACATTGTAAATACTGTGAATTCACATTTTATATTTCTATTTAAAAATTATTTTGTCACCCACTTTGTAAATCTAAATGGAAATGGTATAAAATCCTTTTAAAGAGATTTTATAAAATCCTTTTAAAGAGATTGGGTACCACACTGTCTGTCTGCACTCCAGGCTCCCAGGGTAGGAGATCTGAGGTGTCTGCTCGGATATTTTGTGCTGGTTTGCCAGCCTTGTCCTGTGTGCTGCAAGGACAGGGAGTCTGGCCCAGGTGGACACTGAGTCCTGCATTAAGATGAATGTCGGCTTCTCAGGAAGTACCATGCCTGTTACTTGAGGGTGAGATACAAATGTAGATATATGCAAAGAACTCTTTAGGAAAGTCTCTTTAGGAAAAATATTCCTGTTAAAATATAGAATAAACAACTTGGAACAACTTGTGAACTGTACAAAGAATCTCAAAGGACAGAAAAGGGCCAAAATGTAAGGACATATTACACAGTTCGTAAAATGACTCTCTGTCACTTTCTAGTTCCCTATAAGTTTTCTGGAATGTTGCAAAACAGGAACAAGACCTCAATAGAAAGAGACAGGTAACCTCAGGAGACGAGAGCTAACATCTGGTCAAACCATTTGTGTGATCTTGTCCGATCACACAAATCACCTCCACCAACCACCAGAGATCTTAACGTAAGCTGAAACCTACATACCAGACCAGACCTCCTAATGGGGATACACGACCTTGCTCAATATTTCCCAGCCATGAGAAAAGTCCAGCCCTTTTGGATCATACATATTCCACTTCATTGTATGCCCTAATAAAAACTCAACATTAAACCATGGGGGTGCATCTCAATTTGAGGGAGTGAGTTACTGGGGATTGAACCCCAGGGTACTCTATCACTGAGCTACATGTCCAGCCCTTTTTATTTATTTTTTATTTGAGACAAGGTCTTGCTAAGTTGTCCACGCTGGCCTCCTGCCTCAGTCTTCTGAGTAGCTGGGATAACAGATATGCATCACCAGAGGGGCTTGCCTTTCACTTTCTAAGAAAGCTCTTCCTCTCTGTTGAAACCTGACCCATCCTTAAAATCTGTTCTGTCACACAGTCAAGAACCTAGAAGGACTGAGTCGAGGCAGCTTCCAGACCTCCTTGGATTCCCTCATGACAACAAGGGCATCTCGAAACCTCACACAGAAGATTCCTACCAGAGGAGGCACCTCTTCTACCATTTCTCCACATTCTTATTTGTTGGCACAAAGTGCTGCCTCTGACCTCTCTCAGTTGTGTTGGTCGGCACTGTTTTCTCATCTTTCAAAGTCACTGTTTGCTCGGAAGTTGGGCCTCTGAACACTCACCTGTCCCCTTGGATTATTGATCTCTGTCTGCAGCCAGGAGATTGCTTCTCTCATAGTCTACAGGAATGGCTAGAAAGCTGCAGACCTACCAGGCCGACTTGTACCTCATCCTTGCAATGAAACTGCATTTTCTCCTCCCACTGAGGAACAGTTTTTTGTAAGAGCAGTTTGTATATAGTTTGCAGAGAGTGGGTCACTCTGAGTAGACCTGTAATTCACCCCTCCTTACAAACCGTCCCCAAGGCTGGAGCCAACAAACATTCCTGAACCAGGCACTGGGCTAGGACAGAGAGGGGAAAGAGAATGAAATACAGGTTTTGCCTCCTAGGAGCTTCCAGACTGTAGGAGAGGTCTAGATTAGAGCTGGGGTTGTGGTTTAGCGGTAGAGTGCTTGCCTAGCACGTGTGAGGCACTGGGTTCAATCCTCAGCACCACATAAAAATAGCACCACAATAAATAAATAAATTAAATAAAGGTATAGTGTCCATCTACAACTAAAAATAATAAAAAAAGATTAGAGTACATGTCATCAATACTTGTATTTGAAGAGGAGATACAAAATGTTGCAGGGCACAGCAGCAGTTCTGCCAGAGCTGGGGTAGCCTCCACCAGGAGGCAATATTTGAACAGGTGTGGGGCCTCAAGCAGAGAAAAGGAGAGGGCTTCTGCTGGGCCCCACTTCATTTGACTTCAGGGGTCCACTCACATTGAACTCCAGAGGATGACAATCTCTAAGGGAATGTGATTGGAAGGTTGTGGAGTGATGTTCCAGGTCAGCAGAATACCATGGATGTCAACTCAGAGAATCCTCTGGGATTTTACATCTTTATCTATGTGGCCTGTGGAATGTTTTGTCCCTGGTATTAAATCGTGAATTGTGGTATTAAATAACGATTCAGAAACATTGTTGCCTCCTGACTCAAAAACCCAATCAGTGTCCCTGTCGCATCACCACATGAGATAAGACCTTGGGAGACTGAGGCAGGAAGATCACTTGAGCCTATGAGTTAGAGACCAGCCTGGGAAAATCCCCCTCCCCTCCTGTATTGGATGCATAGCTTTACCCTTATGACCTCATTTAACTTTAATTTCCTCTTTATCGGCTCTACCTACAAATTCAGTCACATTAGAGAATAAAACTTCAACATGTAAATTGGGGGAGGGGACAACTGGGGGGCAGTATTGGGGGATTGAACTCTGGGTTTCACGCAGACTCAGCAGGCACTCTACCATGGAATTATACCCCCAGCCCCCAGTTCATATGATTTCTAAATTTTTAAAATTTTTGCAGTGCTGAAGATTGAATTCAGGGGCTTGTACATGCTAGGCAAGTGCTCTTATCACTGAGCTACATCCCCAAACTGTGATGATTAGGTTTATGACAATTGTCTCTGTCTGATGCTCCTACATTTATGATGGGGATACATGCTTGTAAACCCACTATAAATTGAAAATATGGTAAATTGAAAATGCATTCAGGTCAGGCACAGTGGCATATGCCTGTAATTCCAGCAATTCAGGAGGCTGAGGCAGGAGGAATGCAAATTCAAGATCAGCCTTTGCAATTTAGAGAGACTCTGACTCAAAATAAGAAATAAAAAGGGTTTGGGAAAGTTCTTTGGTGGTGAAGTGCCCCTGGGTGGAAGGAAGGAAGGAAGGAAGGAAGGAAGGAAGGAAGGAAGGAAATGCCTTCAGTACATCTAACCTAGTGAATACTGAACATCCTAGCTTAGCAACACTGTATTGCAGAGTATTGGTTGTTTCCTCTCATGATCAAGTGGCTAACTGGCAGCTGGGGCTCACTGCCATTGCCCAGCATCAGAGACAGCATTGTGCCACATACTGCTAACCCCGGGAAAAGATCAAAATTTGACATATGGTTTCTACTTAATGTATCATTTTTGAACCACTGGAAAGTTGTTCAGAAGTGGAACCATTATTAAATTGAGAACCATTTTTATACTAATTCTTTGAAATGCCTAGTGGTGTCTTTGCTCCTTTGTCTTTTTCTTGTTGATTTGAATAGTTCTTTACATATTCTTTATGGTAATTCTTCATCAGTTATACATATTAAATATATGCTTTCATCTTCTCCCAGTTGATGGCATGAAGTTTCACATTTCTTGTTCTGTCTTTTAACGTTTCAGTGAAGTCAAATGGTTTGGCTTTGGCTTGAGATATTTTGTCATATTTAGGCAATCCTATCTTTCTAAAATCATAAAGACATTATATTCTTCTAAAATTTTAAAAGTTTTACCTGTTACATTTAAGTCCTTGGTTCAATTGGAAATGATTTTTGTGTGTGGCGTGTGGTAAGAATTCTTTCTTCTCCAACATATGTATTCAATTATCTCAGCAGCATTTCTTGAATGATTCCTCCTTTCCTTACTGATCTTCAGTGTCACCTGTGTCAGATGGTAAAAATCTGTGTCTAGACTTTTATTCAGTTCTGCTGGGATTCTTTTGTATTCCTAGCCCAATGACACATAGTCTGAGAATTCTTTATATCTAGCTTCCAGTTTTCTGATTCTCTCTCTCTCTGTCCAGTCTGCTGTTAAGCCATTTTAAAAGACTAAAGCAGGGGCTAGGGGTATATCAGTTGGTAGAGTGCTTGCCTTGCATGCCCAAGGCCCTGGGTTCAATCCCTTGTGCTGTGGGGAAAAAAAAAATGAGCAAAATAACTATGAGATGATCAAGGAAATCTGAACATTAACTGGGTGTTTGGTAGAGAAATTGTTAATTATTTTATATAAAATAATTACATTGTGCTTTTGGGTTTTTTTAAGGAGTTTTTATTTTTGGAAATATATACTGCAATATTTTGAATAAAATTATATAATGTCTGGGATTTTCTTTAGAACTAAAATGATAATGATATATATGGAATAAGGTTGGCTATGAATTGAATAATTGTGGAAGCTAGATTATGTCTACGTCATGATTTTCCTCTCCTTTTGTATGTATTTGAGATTTTCCATACCAAAAAATTTTTAAAAACACAGCCCAGATTCTGCTCACTGTTTCTAATGTTTAGGATCGTGATTTTGGTCTCAAGAAGCTTCTAAGTAGCGGTCCATTGAGCCAATGTTGGTTGACTCTGATTTTTACTCCTTTAAGCACACTTTGAGTTCCATTTTTTTGATAGCTGTATATGAATTTTTTTTTTTTTTTGGTACCAGGATTTGAACCCAGGAGTGTTTAGCCATATCCCCAGCTTTTTATTTTAGAGACAAGGGTCTCCCAGAGCTGCCTAGGGTCTCACTAAATTGTGAGTCTGGCTTTGAACTTGCGACCCTCTTGGGATCCAGCCTTCCAAGCTTCTGGGATTACAGGTGTGCACCACCACACCCAGCTAGTCGGGGATCTTGTTCTGTAGCGTGGGGTAGACTCAATCAAGCCTCCTCCCTCAACCTCACCAGTAGCCAGGACTACAAGCAGGCACCAGCATCCTCAGCTAAAATATATTTAATTCATACCTTATATCTGATCATTCCAATCTCTGCAATAGTTGCCTGCCTGCTTCTTTTACTTCTCTTGACTCATTCATAAAGGATTGTTTGTACATGTATGAGCTGTTGTTGTTTTTAATTGTGATCCCACATCCTTGCATTAATATCTGTGGCAGTTCACTGAAGCTTAGTGTTCCAGTAAACAAAGTTTGCATGGCTTCTGCCTGGTGCAGGGGGGCACTAGGTGTCCAGAACCACTTTAAATGAACTGTTTAGCCATGAGGTTTTTCCGTGTGAATCCCAGTTCTAGACCCACCTGAGTACAGGCTCAGGGTTAGGAATTCTGAGGGGGACTGTTCATTTTATTCTTTAGCACCAGCCTTAGAATCCTCGCCAACGGAGGCACAGGTCTCCACTCTCCCTCCAGGGGTGAGTTTTCTGTGCTTCACCCACTAAACATATCATCCAGGGATCCCACATTATGCGGAAGGGAGTATGTGTGGAAGGGGAGCATTTATCTCACCTCATCCAGGCTTCATTATTTGTTTATCTTTATCCCAAAGAGCAGAGCCTTTAAACCCAAGCCCAAGGCCAGCAGAGGTGTGCACGTGCCCCTCAGGGGAGCCTCTGGCCCCACTGCTTGCTTTTTCCTGTAGATTTGGTGGGGCCAGGGGTTGTTTGTTTTCAGGTGCTGGGGATCAAACCTAGGGCCTCATGCATACTAGGTGAGCACTCTGCCACTGAGCTCCATCCCCAGCATAATCTGTATTTTCTTAGATAGTTTTTAGCCATCAACAAATTTCCTTAGTTTTCTGCCAGATCAATCAGACGTTATCTTTAAAAAAAAATCCCCCCAAAAGTCATTTCCAGCTGACACTAAAAACAAAACAAAATAAAACAAAACACCCATTACATAGTGAACAGCTGGTAGCTCCCTCATCTTGACCTCCTTTGATTTCAGCCTCTTGGTGCAGTTTTTTTGTTGTTGTTGTTGTTGTTTGTTTTGGTTCTGTGCATTGAATCCAGGAGCACTTAACCACTGAGACACATCCCCCGCCCTTTTTTATTTTATTTAGAGACAGAGTCTCTCTAAATTGCTTAGGGCCTCCCTTGCAGCTTTGAACCTGCAATCCAGAGCTGCTGGGATTACAGGCATGCGCCACTATGCTCAGCTTGCTGAGAGTTTCTTTGAAAAACAGGCTCTGAACTTGCACCCTTCTCTGACTGCTCAACTGCTGAAGAAGTCCCTCTGACTTGGGCACTTGAGGGGGGGATCTAAGAATCATGGGAAGTGCCATATAGATTGAGTTGCTGTTTTTGTTTGAACTCATAAATTGTAATTTTTTTCCAGAAAAAAAAAAAAACTTTCAGTTTGTCACACAGATGAATTCCCATCCCCAAAGATAAAATTGCATTAATTGCTTGAGAAAAGCAAGAACCTAAGAAAGTACAAATATCTTTTCAGCATCTAATTGTTTAATTCATTATTTTTATTTCCACTACTTTACAAATGCTTAGGGAAAAAAAATAAACTTTTCTTGCAAATCAAAGTATCTGAAGGTTACAGGAAAAAAAATAGTATCAAAGTTACATGCCTAGTGAACCAGGGATTCAACTGATGAGCTCAACAGTGAGGAAATTAAACCATTTTTTTGGGGCACTTAAAAGATCAAAGCTCCAAACCAAAACGCAGTATGTAAGAGAGTATACTTTTCAGCTATCTTTCTTTAAACCTAAGGATGTATTAACTGATGAGTTAGGAAGAATCTTACAAGCTGGATGCAGTGGCACACACCTGCAAAGTTACTTGGGAGACTGAGGCAGAAGGATCATTTGAGCCCCTGAGTTAGAGAACAGCCTAGGCAACATAGGGAGACCCACTCTCACATAAAAAAAGTACTGGCGGGAAGAAAGAGAAACAAGGAATCTTATGTAGTCTCACATCATGTCAGGATGGAGCAGTTTTGCTTATGAAAATCAAAGAGTTTACTTTGCCCTTTGTTTTCTACAAAATACGGTTCCTATGAGAGGTTTCTGCTGAAAGAGGCTTCCTAACTTGAGCTGCACTGGGTATGGTTGCTTTCTTCTTTTAGCTCCCATTTGTTCTCTTTAGAGTTCTGAAATAGCATGGTTATGATGTAATTAAAATGGAAACAGTTCTGGTAGGGGGCACAGTGCGACCATGTCACAGTAGCAACTGCTGTGACTTCAAGGCCTAAAGTTGGGCAAATCAGGTGGCCTGCACTGATTTTAAGAAATCATTTGAAACAACCCTATACTTAAACTTTTTTTTTTTTTTTTTTTTTTTTTTTAAAGAGAGAGGGAGAGAGAGAAAGAGTTTTAACATTTATTTTTTAGTTTTCGGCAGACACAACATCTTTGTTTGTGGTGCTGAGGATCGAACCCGGGCCGCACGCATGCCAGGTGAGCACACTACCGCTTGAGCCACATCCCCAGCCCACAACCCTGTATTTAAAAGATCTCAATAGAGAGGAATTCTAAGCCAGAGTTCCCTTTCAAGGACTACTCCCCAGAATTTTTCTTTCTCTTTATGCAATTTGTGTTCAGGGAAATGTTCAGGCACTGGGCTGAACAGGTAATGACAAGTGGGAAAAACACCAGGAAAGGTGTTTTCAGCTGCCTGGGGAGCCCACTTGGAAGCCTGGTGAGGACACCCACACTGGACTTGAACTTCATATTATTTGACTTTTGCTTTTACATTGGGTCTGCTCTTCTTCACCAGGTTGCCACATCAAAAGTGGCTCCTCAGCAGGACACAGTGGCAGGACTCACTTCTATAATCCCAGTGGCCTGGGAGGCTGAAGAAGGAGGATCTCAAGTTCAAAGCCAGCCTCAGCAACAGTGAGGTGCTAAGCAACTCATTGAGACCCTGACTCTAAATAAAATACAAAATAATGTGGCTCTCAGTGGTTGAGTGCCCCTGAGTTCAATCCCGGTACCCACTCCTTCCACCCCCCTTCAAAAAGTGGCTTTCAACAGAGAGGAGATGTATAAATGTGAGTTTCTGAAGCATATTCTTCTGAGGTTCCCTACCCATCTGATTACAGGGAATGCTCATGAAGAAGCTAGGAAGGTTTGAGTGTTAGGAGTTTTAAATGCAAAAAAAAAAAAAAAAAAAAAAAGATTTTTGGCAGGGGGTGGGCTGTGTATTGCACCCCAGGCACTCTACCACATTCCTAGCCCTTTGTTTTTTTATTTTTTTATTTTGAGACAGGGTCTTGCTTAAACTTGTGATCTTCCTGCCTCAGTTTACAGTGTTGCTGGGATTATAGTATTACAGGCATGTGGCACTACACTTGGCTAAATAGAATAGTTATTCTATATGCATCAGTAAATCCTGTAGGAGAATCCTAAAGCCCCGAAGTTGTGTTTGTGGGATTTTATATAAATGTCAATCAGGGAGTTGGCTTGAAGCAGCCATTCAGTGCTTACTATATTAAGTCAGATATCTTCAAAGGGTTTCCTATGACAGAAAGGGGCTGACCAGACATTTCAGGATTGTGAAAGACTGAGTCTTTGACTGACTGGGGGTGGAGCTCAGTGTTAGAGTGCTTGTCTAGAATGTGTGAGGCCCTGGATTTAGGCTCCAGCCCCCAAAGAAATTCTTTGGCTTTCCTGGACTCTCTACATAGAGAAGTAAAAAAACCAAACATGAAACAGAAAAGTAGTAAGAAAGGATTTAAAGGATAGTGTTCACTTCAATAGAATGATGCCTCCTGGGCATTTATAAACATAACCACAAGTTCTTTGACACTTTTTGCACTTGGAGGTGGGGTCTATGTCCCCTGCTCTTAAATCTGAATGATTTTGTGTCTCCACCCATAGAATAAGGCTGAAGAGATACCATGTGACATCTGAGTCTACGTGGGGAAGGCTATTTAGCTTCCCCCTGGCTCTCTCAAATGGCCCTCTTGGGATTCTGCTACTCAAAACTA